AATATGTGTTTATTGGTGTCCTGCACTTTCAGTGTAGGAGGTTGGAGATGTAATAAAAAAGTTTCAAAATTTATTGATTCAATTTCATTTAAATCACTCTAAACAACCAGTGCTTTAGAGTTCAGAGAATTAACGTTTACTGTCCATTACACGCAAAATTTCAGTATTACCTTTTTAAAGTCCGCTTAGAACTCCTCTCTTTTAAAATTCTTCAGATACATTCCCCAAAGTAAACAATACATTTCAATCTGTGTCACAATCAACACTGATAAGGCCTTCTTAACCCTTTTATGCCACCTCCACTATGACTTCATTGCAAAACACAACCTTATTTCATACTATAAATATCCATCCATGCACAAAATGCAGGGGCCAGAAGTTGCACATTAATATCTCATGTAGGCTTCCGAGACTTCCTTTGCCCTCTGCAGGTTTATGGTACACTTAAAAAGATATCTTTAGACTTGGTCTACTTGGTCTTAAAATACAAATATACAATATCCATAAGCATAAAAAAGTAAAGCTAGGTCGCCTTACCATTCGTTATGAACTGCTAAAATCTTATACATGTACAATATAGCATCATGCTGATTAATATACAGATTAGTTAAATATATCAACCAATAATGGAGATGTGGCCAAGCTTTCTGGTTTTCAAAAAGAAATTGTTCATATACAAGTAAAAGGATTTTTAATTTAAACTCGTATGGGATACTTGAACCACAGACATCTGTAAACCCTGCTGAGATGTTCAGGTCAAACTGGGGCACAACCCGCTGATCACTTGATAGGGAACACAACCCCTCCGGGGCGATTCCCGAGCTGTGCTGTTCCTAAGAGAATGCAAAGTTACCAGCGTTCACGCTTTTAGGTCTAAATCACTAATTTTTGCATCTTACATCTTGGTGTATACATTCTGCACCTACTCCTCATCCCCCATCAGAAACAACTCAGTACCTTGACGCTGTCACAGACTTTTCTAAGTAGATATACAGTACAAAGGGTGGATAGTGAAACAAATAAGCACGTATATACAGTCTCTGAAAGGCATTTTTGTGACCATTTTAGCAGTGTCCATAGCAAACAGTTAGGATAGTCACATTCCGCTGATACCGCTGTACTGCAAACTGTCAAGCCACATTCCTTAAACTCGTACTGTGTGTTGTACAACGGAAGAGACGACGCCCGCTCGTAAGGTGTGACACGACGACAACAAAACCAACCGCCAGACTGAGGAAGGTAACCAGCACAGGGCTTCATTTTCCTGAGGTTTGTAAGAATTCTTTTTTAAACAAAAATCACAGTGACCAGGCTAAACTGCAACCATACTGTTAAGGTTTAAATATACAGTTTATACACAAGTTCTGTGCACAGTCGACGCAAGTGCGCACACGGACGTTTCCTTTAAATGACTCGCCACTGCATGATGCTCGTGTCTTTTCCGCCGGTGGAGATGAGATGGGTGTCCTCACAGAGAAAATCTACATTAGTCACATGACTGCTGTGTCCACCGTACACGTGGCTTGGAGCCTAGAGAACACCGTATCGGTCAGAACACAAACCGGCATCAAACGGTCTCATTATCACATTAGCATTCCTACAGCGATGAAACCAAGGCCTCCCATCACTCTCCAAGTGGTTTAATAGGAAATTTAACCATACTTCCAATCAATATTACGTAAATCCCTTAGGCATATACATATTCCCATTTTTTTTTCTGGGGAAGGGGTGTGTGCTTTTGTTCTGTTTTCACACATGGGAAAACAAGGTTTAATGCACGTGTGTAAGTTACAAGAGTACATTTTTTGGAAATACCTTACCCTAAACTGCGAACACGGATAGGAGAAGAGATGTACTTTGCCAAAATCATCCCCCGTTGATAGCAGCTTCCTCCCATGTGATCGACAGACAGCATTGATATCTGTTCCATCTGAACCTTCAGGCCATACACCTGAAACACACAGGGACTAATTAAAGCCTTTTATAACGGAAACAAAAGTGACAGATGAAGATCTGGTAAAACATTAATGAAGGATTGATTGGTTAAAAAAGAGAAAACGATACGACTATAAAAGTAACTGCAGCTGAGTCAGTGCGCATACTTCAGTACCAGCGGAAGACCGGAGCCGAGTAGGAAATCAGGCACGTAAATACTTTACTTCCTCCAGTCAGCAAAGTGCTTTTTACTCTGGAAAAAAGAACCCTGCCGAACTACAGTCATGTGCCTGAGCCTAAAAGAATTTTCATATGGTTATGTAGAAAAATAACAGTTACTGCTTTTACTTTCCCTTCTGCTTGTGTTGGAGCCGACATACCTACTACTGTACTCTAGAAAGCTCCCTGTGTATGATTCCACATGCTTTCTTCATACTACTACAGACTAAAACGTACAACACAATAGATTCGTTATTTTTAAAGCCTATTTAGTAGTTAATAGATCCCTTGAAAAGAAACTGAACCTGCAATATTTTAAAATGTTTTTGGTTTGCTGCAAACAGTTCTCCTCCTTCCTCATGTAGCCAGCACTCCTTGCTGTTCCTGCACCAAGCGGTGGTGTAGGATTAAACTGCAGGCTTATCAACACAAGGACCAAATCTAAGCACCACACCGTGAAAGTGTCTGAACACCTGCCTGTAACAAACTGCAATGAAATCCCACCTGTTAATGAAATCCCATTTTTCTGTATGCAATACTCTGTTTGTACATCTGATTTTTGTAATTCAGATTTTATCTAACCCCTACTCAACCTAAATAGTACCTAACGTGCAGAGACCACTGACATAATCAGATGTAATGTGTGCTCTGCCATTAAGATTTGGCAGAAATCCTGCCCTGTCTTGGTGTTACCATCTTCCACGACTGCCCCTGTGTAACACATCCTCGGCAGGGTCTCTTGAGGTCCTTCCACTTGAGGGCATGCTCTTCCTTCCAGGGAACAGGTTTAGATTGGATATCAGGAAGAAGTTCTTCCCGAAGAGGGTGGTGAGGCACTGGAACAGGTTGCCCAGAGAAGCTGTGGATGCCCCATCCCTGGAAGTGTTCAAGGCCAGGCTGGATGAGGCTTTGAGCAATCTGGTCTAGTGGAAGGTGTCCCTGCCCATGGCAGGGGGGTTGGAACTGGATGGTCTTTAAGGTGCCTTCTAACCCAAACCATTCTGTGATTCTATGATTCCTTTGGCGTTACTGCAGGGCAGGATGCGACGGTTGGAAGTGGGCATCTGCCCTGCACTGTGGAAAGAGCTGGCCCTCAGTCCGCATGGAATTCTTCCCAAATACAGTCTTTGTGTCATTGCACAGCAATTCAAAAGCACTAAGAGGAAGGGATTCCATGTCTTTATAAGGAATTAGAGGCTGTTGTTGATAAAATGAAACATGAAGTACTGGTTTGCCGACTGCCCCGACCTCTCCCCATGTGTGCGGAAACATCTCTTTGCTAGGTCATGTATGGTAAGGAAGAGGTGCGAGTCCAGAGGAGGCCCTGAAGATGCTCCGAGGGCTGGAGCACCTCTGCTGTGGGGACAGACTGAGAGCGTTGGGCTTGTTCAGCCTGGAGAAGAGAAGGCTCCGGGGAGCCCTTATAGCACCTTCCAGTACCTGAAGGGGCCTACAAGGAAGCTGGGGGGGACTTTTTACAAGGGTCTGCAGTGACCGGACAAGGGGGAATGGGTTTACATTGAAAACAGGGAGGTTTAGATTAGATATCAGGAAGAAGTTCTTCACAGAGAGAGTGGTGAGGCACTGGAACAGGTTGCCCAGAGAAGCTGTGGATGCCCCATCCCTGGAAGTGTTCAAGGCCAGGCTGGATGAGGCTTGGAGCAACCTGGTCTGGTGGAAGGTGTCCCTGCCCATGGCAGGGGGGTTGGAACTAGATGGTCTTTAAGGTCCCTTCCAACCCAAACCATTCTGTAATTCTATGATCTCTAAACACCGCCAGGCTGACCAACCTGTTCCCATGCTTAAGACAGGTCTTCAGCTGAGTAATGTTCATTTTTCCCCCTGCACTGGTTATGCTGATCTGCGAGTGCCACGCGTACTATTAGTGATTTTAATGTGGTTCTACTGGAGTGAGAAACTATCCCTAGCTTCACTCAGCCAGCAGCTAATGAAAAATCAATATACTAGAAGCCTCGCATCCTTGATTGCTTCTTCTGTGTTCAGTGAGGCAATACTGGCAAGCATTTGAAAACTGTTCATACTGGCTGCTCTGAGGCCCCAGCGTACTGTACAGCAGTGTGACTCCCAACGTTACCAGACTGGCTTCCAATTTATAATGCACGAGCTTCTTCAGTTTCTTATTCTACCCACTAACTCTGCATTTCATCCCCTCCACATGGGTTCTGAAGGTACATATGTGATTCTGCAGATGCTAAATTCATTCTTTTCCATTCTTTCAGTACTTCGCCTGTTCTCTGTGAGGTCCTGAAAATAAAGTACTAACGGTCTCGAGATTATGCCAACCAGTTGTTTTCACAGATGCAACAGAGTTCATCACACTCAGACACTTGGAAAATATCTGGCCTGTAACTACTTTCCAATCTGCTACTTCCCGACGAAAAGGGGAGGTCCTCTTTCGTTCCTGGCGCTAACTGGGTTAGGCATCAGATTGTAGGAAGCCTTCTAATAAAGACATAGTAAAAACCAAGAAGAAAGCGTTGTGTTTTTCAACACTTCAGCCTTGGCAGTGTCATGTCTCCTCTCCACAGAGCAGGCCAATATTGTAGTTGACCCTTCTGTTATTTCTGTACTTGTCACAAGTATTTATGCTCAGGCTTTGTTTACGTGTCTCCTTGGCCCTCCAACAGTTTCTACTTTCTGCATTCCTCTTCCTTGTAGGAGAGCTCAACGACAGTTTAACCAAAGTTGTATCTTGCTGTCACTCCTATCCTTTCCTCTGGGCTGGTAGAGTGTGTGTGCTTCATACCACCTATGGAGCTACCACATCTTGCCTTTTTCCAAATTCATATCTTCCTGAACGGGGCCTTGGATTTTGACAGTTTGCCTCCCTGAAGTCCATTATTTTAATTTCATTGCTCTTTTTCATTCCTATACTAAGGATCACGCCTGCCTAATTCCACAGTCATTTCTACACAAGATGCATTCATATTCTCAGTAAGTTTTTTCCAACTCCCCAGAATGAAATCTGGAAGAAACTCCCCTCTAGGTACTTATCTATTTCCTGTAGCAGAAGAATTTTGAGAACTTGCTGGTTAGACAGAGTTTTGTAATTCCTTTCCCAAAAAGACACTGGAATGGTTAAAATCTCACATCCTCAGCAATTCCTGTTATTTGACTGATTCTGCTTAGCTATTAAAAAAAAAATCCATTCATTTGATCTTTCTGGATGGGCAACAGTATAACCCTGCCACCATTAATACTCTTTTTTTAGCTATAATGATTATGCATTATCTTTGTAACTTCCCAGTGTGAACCGAACTGTGCAGCTATGAATCCTCAGAATATATGGCACCACCTCCTCTTCTTGCGCACCACACATCCTTTCTGAGCAAGTTATAACCTTTTCCTTCAAAATTCCACTCACTTGACGAACATCCTCACAATCTCTATGACATTACTAAAATGACAATTGTGATCATTACTAAAATTAGCAGCTACTTTTATTTATTCCTTATCGCTTTAGCTTACAATAAACCAGTTCAGCACGAAGACTATAGGTATAAAACGCAGTTTGCACAAGTTCCCCATTGGCCCAGTAAGGCCTTTCTGTAAGGGCCTTCGTCCCTCGTACGAGAAACAAGTCAACATGCAGCCACTCTTCTAGGACTTCTTCCTTTTGATTTAATCCTCATGTTGCAGTGATACCCAAGCACTGGTTGCCAGTTAAGTTATACTAAATGAGAATGTGTCTTCCCAGCATATTGCTACTGCCAACCCATCTTTAGGCTCTGAAAACATGTCCTTCCTGGCTGCCTCCAAACACATTACTGCATTCATTCCACTTGAAACACAGGTGAAAATCTTCCTTGCATACTGCTTGTACTAAACCAGACTCTTCTCTGAACTTCTACCATAGCTTATCTACCACATTTTATCTTGAGGACTCAAGGATTTGAAGCTTTTCGTACTCAGCTTTTGTAAGAATCTGCCTAGTTCTGCACACGCTGTGGAATGAATGAGTACAGAGCTTCAGAGTACACGGGGGAAAGCAGTTCCTTCAAAACTGGTACAAGTCCCGTGGAAACAAAACATCCTGATGTTATTACATTTTTCTTCTTGTACTCCCTTCACCTCTTTTAACTGCTATATATTGTATCAAAATACATTTTAAGTACTTAATGACGGAGACTGTCGCCCATTTTGCATTTGCACAGTGACTGGTGCAAATGGAACCGGTTCTGGTAAGGGGATTTGGCCCAGTAGCTGCCTAAATAAATGATAATTCCATAGAAGTGGCACTTTAAATTAAAAGTGACGAGAAGCAGCTCTAGTGTGACAGAAAGGGCAGTGTGTGATTTCTTCCCTGTCTCCCAGTTATGTTGTAACTTCATATTGAAGTTAGCAAGAACATTAAATCAGAGCCTTTCTGGATTGAAATAAGAGGACAGATTGTAATAAAAATGGCATAACAGAAGTGCTCTGTTTTTCCCTGAAATATGAATAGTCATGTTTCATAAGAAAAAGTTGGCAACCCAAGTGTTTGTTAATAACAAGAATGGTAAGAGCTTTTACGAGGAAAGGTACTTACCAAAAACATGGAATCCTAAAGTACAGGTGTAAGTGGCCCATTCTATGTCTCTAGTTGTTTCAACACTCACGACTTGCTTACAAGCAGAGGGGATCCCTATGGAAGAAAAAATAAAAAGTAAACAAAACCCACACCACGTGAGAACGTTTTTAATTCTCAAATTGTATGGAGTTCTGATTGCACCAGATGAAGTAAAACATATGGTCTATCTTGGCAGTTATATAGTCTCATTTAAATTTTAAATCTGTATTGGACTGCCTGAACTTTGAACAAAAGGACTAAATATAATCCTTACTCACAGTATAAGATTTCATAGTCTCCTGAATTAGACACAAGATACTGTGAATTAACAGACCAATCCAGATGAGTGATGAAGCTGGAATGACCCTACAAAGAGAAAAATACTGTATTTACTGCACTAACAGTATCTCTCCACATGACAGTATTCATACGGTGCTACAACACACACGGAAGTTGTTAAGATCGAACCAGGAGGAAAAAAAAGTTACTGACCGAACATTTGCCAATCCTAGTGTACTTTCTTCCATTTTCGCTTACGCCATATATATAGATACAGTTGTCATGGGAACCTATTGCCAAGAAGTTTCCATCTATGAACACAAAAGTGGACTGTAATTACTCCTATTAGAAAAAACGTAAGCACGTTTTGAAGAGTTAGTGTGTAACAGACAGGAAGAACTGTTCTTAAAGGCCTTGATACCGGAAATAAAATCCCATGTTTCCTTTTTTGGCTGTATATCGATGCATGTTTCAAGATTAAAAACAAGTTTATACAGTAAGTACTACTGTTAAACACACACACCACTTCTGGAAGGGGCTGGAGTCCACTAAGCATTAACCTGGTCGTAACAACCCGCGCAGTTAAGTCATATGTGGGTTTTTTTCTTCCCAGTGACACCACATTGAATGTGTAGGGGAAGGAGGGAGGGAAAAGCAAAGTAGAGCCTAAGACACTGCCCGTTCAGTGTCGCCAATGTTTCATGGCGTTTATTTTCAACTTCAGTATGGTAAGCGGGGATTTATTTTAAAACAACCGAACCCCAAATCTGATATCAAGTTTCAATGCTTTTTTTTCTGACCAGTAAGTGAATGCTCTCAAACCTGGTGAGTAACGCATTACAGACAGCTGTTCGTTTCCATCTGTGTGTACAGTGACCAAGTCTTTTGTTTCTGTGTCAAACACAAACCACCTGTTGTAAATACAGAAAAGAGGCCAATAAATCATCCCATAAGGAATTCAAATCCACTGTAATCTTGACCAACTTTTCTTCTGTCAAAATAGCATAAGTTTTACACCAAGAAAAGAAAAACAGCAACTGCTACTCGGTTTGGTTTGTTTTTACCTTAACAAGAGGATAGGGTTTTTCCCATGTTTTTTAACCAAAAAAAAGATCAGTCCTTGACCCTAATCTCAATCATCAGCTTTTTGTGTGTTTTACTATGTGTCACGCATCAGAATAAAGTAAGCATTGTATATAATGACCCTTCTCCTTTAATGACCCTCCCCTGTGCTATGCTGATGTTTAAAGCGATGCCTACATTAAATCCTAGAGCAAAGGAGAACACAACCAAGAATCAGGGACATTCTCTCTTCACAAAAGGATCAGCTTTGTTTATTAATTTATTTTAAAGTTAATTCATTAGTTTAGAATAAATCTAATTGATTCATTTTAGTGAACTAAAATTTAATTTGTGGAAACGTAGAAAGGACAAAGATAAAATTTGCATTTCAGCACTTTCATCAAATTATCAAAGGCAACGTAAAGATTCCTCTCAAAGCTTCTCCTTTTTATTTACTTCAGTTAGTAAATGAAGTAAATTTAGTAACTGAAGTAAATCCTTTGTTTGGGATTGATATGCAATCCCAAATAATCTCGGCTCATAACCTGTAAGCACTCTGTATGTTCTCAGTTCAGTGGAACCGTTTTCAGTACTAACAGCAAAGTCTGCCCTCAAGTGACATTAGAGAGGACGAAGCGCACTCCTTCCTTCTGTCACAGTTAAACCGAGGGCCTGCTGTTCACCCGCTACGTGGCCGAGGGCTCAGCCTGCCCTGTAAAACAGAGGCACTATGTTTCACCTCGGCTTTGTCCCTCTCATTTATGTTTTACACTCTTCAGGCAGAAGAATTCTCTTAATATGCATTTTTACACTATGTCTAGCACAGTGGAAGATTTGCCAAATTTTTGTGAAAGCCTCTGGCTGCCACTGCACTACAGATAATAAACCACTCGCTCAACTTTCCAACAAGCAACCTTTTTTCTCTGTGATTTCCTCTATGCTGCCCTACAGGCCTGTGGGAAGATCTCCGTACGCACCCGCAGAGTTAGGCCATTACCTCGATTGCCTTCTTTAGCCTCTCCTTTGCCACGACGGACCCAGAGATTTAACATTCAGGTCACTGGTACGGTGACAGCACCTCCAATGCAGGGTTGCACTGCTAACCCAGACTTCCTACCCTGTCCAAATCCACATCTTAGCACTGATCTTAGATCGCTGCTCTCCCAGGGCAGAAACCATCTCTTCGTTCCGTGTTCATGCCACACTTGGCAAACACGAGGTACTGGCCCAAGACTAGGCCTGCTAGGCACTAAGGCAATACAAATAAATTTCACCCTGAAATTCAATACAAATCTATAGGGGATGAATATATGTCACGCATACATCTGCCAAACAAGAACATGAGCTTGGATGGGAGCTGGAAAGATCACGTAGTGACCAAGGTGTAGCTCTGCGCATCTTACCTGCCGGTCAGCGTCCCTACTGCAACCACAGACGCTGAGGGATGAAAACCTGAGGACTGCGCTGGATCCTAAAATGTTTCAGAAAGAAGCACACTGTTTAATCGGCCCAAGTTATAACAAAAACATAGTTCGATTATCTGCCTCAGGAACAGGGTAAGCCTCTCTTGTTGATTTTTGGGGATTTTTGATTTTTTTTTTTAAAATACAAACTTGAGGGGGGAAAAAAAAAGAAGCATTTTTAACTGATTGAGATTGCCCAATAGATTGTTTTTCCCTCTATGCAAGGCCACTGTTTTCTTCACTATCTAAAAATAACTTGGCCAGTGATTTCATAACCATAACACTGGCAAAGGCAGCTTCTCAACAAATCACAAACAAAAGGTAAAAATAACTTACTAAATTAGAGCTGATCTAAGAATTAAGCATCAAAGCCGCAGTCTACCTACTGGGTAAAGGACAAGAAAGTCCCTTATTCAACGAAGGTATGTATCACTTGGCAGGGAGGGGTAAAGCCTAACTTCTGCACACCCCAACACCTATCTCAGCACCTGCCAGCTGCAGCTTTGTGGGAGGTTAAGGGTACAAACCTGGCTTCTTGCTCTCACCTGCAATTTGAAAACACTTTGCTTTGTACAGTGTATTATTATGGATACGGGTAGAATTGCAGTGTTTTTCTTGCAATTTAAACTTATGCCTAAAAAAAGAAGGTAAGCATTTTCTTTCTAATATTTGTTCTGTTACATGGAATGAGCTCCAGAACTCTTGAGGTTATAGCAGAAAGTCCCAAAATAAATAGCTCATTTTTTCTGATACCTGCCCAAAATAATTTTAAACTGTAAGCAAAAAAAAGAATCCAGTAACATATTTCAAGAGAAACGCTTATGTCCTTGATTTTCTGTGTTCTAAACCAGTATCACATTGTAGGCATTTTAGTAAAGCTGTTGACGTTTTTAGTAATTGGTAATTACTAGCCCCAGAGGCGAGCTGTAAGGGATATTCTCATTAATTTTAAACAGGTGACTAATTTCAAAGACGCTACTAAGTCTAAAGAAATTTCAGAGAATTGTTGAGATCCAGGATTTCTCTACACATGTTCTAAACCTCTACAGCAGTCCCGAAAGGAAAATTTGTTTGAAGTATAATTTCATAGTAAATGCTAAAATATTCTCTGGAACAAACCAGAGGTTCAAATAGAGAATTGGATCTGAGCAGTAACTTGTACTCACAACTAAATTAAGAAGCTTTTATGTAGATCTCTTATGACAAAAATAGGTTAACAGGAAATGGTTTGTTTACTGTAGATAATCAGTCACTGATTTATGAAACATAGTCTCAGACATTTCAAGTGGCTAATAAGGAGATTATTGTCAAGACTGATAATAGAAAGCTTGTCTTAATGAAGCGGTGTGTACTTGGAGGAGAAAAGAAATAAATCTAAACCTCGTTTAGCAGTCCTACTGCTGTTGCCATTGACCTTTTCAAAAGAATCAAAAACATAACACAATTCCTTTAACAACAGTTTTTTAGACACTGTCTTAATATTTGCAAAACCACGACTAAATATTAATTGAAGCTCACTGTAAGTCATAATCAGCTAAACCCCAGTCCTGTTTTTCAGAGGACACAGAGGATAAAACAGTGGAAATTATGTGCTTTTTTGAGTTGATGATTACTTAAGTAACTTTATTTCTGAGCAGCTTATCTGAGTAACAGGTTTGCTCCTCTTCCCCGCACCGTACTTCTCTCCACTAGTGATGTTTCACTATCAACCCAAACTTCTAAATGCTCTTTTCTTTGGACTGCCAGAGAGCAAAGTGCCAGATTTTTCACTTTTCTTCATGACTATAGGCTCTCCTCAGTACATTGTTCCTGTTAGTCCCCCTGATATATTTCTTATTACTTCTTATTCTCCCAGCGTTTTTGAAAGCGTATGCAAGTATATAAAACCATACACCTTTACACTCAGCAAAGGATCCTACTAGTACCTGGAATTGCATTACACGATGGTGTTTTTTTTCCCAAAAAATTCAATAATAAAGCATTAAAAAAATAGTACCAATGATTTTACTCCCCCCACTTCAGGATATTTATTTACAAGACTTGCACAGAACAAGTTGTGCGCCATTTCTATATAATCAAAAGAAGCCTCCACAAAAAAAAAGCTAGGCAGAAGACCAGAAAGCCCTATGGAAAAGTTTCCAGTTGTGTCACTGTTCAAGTCACTCTGCAGAAATCCTTCACATGCAACCCCATCTAGTGTGGCCATATTCCATACCGCATGGCACACTGCTATTGCTGGATTTCAAAACAAAAAAAGGCACGTGCTCATCTTTTCTTAGAGCCTACCAAAACAGATCCAGAGAAGTTTGGTTTATAACTGCTCACTGATTTTTAAAATTACGTTTTATTGCTGAAGGTCATAGCCTAGGCGTGCTGATCCTGCATTTGGCATCTCGGTAGCAGCAAGGTTTGACCGTTCCCCTGAAGCCCAACTACAGCACTCCTAAAGGCTGAAGGTGAGAGAGCTTGGTTTTTAATCTAAATCATGAAAACGTACCTTAAACCCTAAAATGATTAGGAGGTAGGAAAATGTAATTGTCTGCCTGCTTCTCAGGCCAAGTCCTTAGCATTATTGATTTCCATTTTTTTCTAGATTACAAGAACTACTTTTCCTTTCTTTTAATCTCTGATCCTACAGACCAATCTGTCTCTATAACTCAGGCACTGAACTGCAAAAACAAGGCTCTCTCTCTGGGGCACTGGAACTGTTGATTTGGTCTCTCCATTTAATTTAGAAGTCAACAAAAATATAGACCTTAAAGCACATGACCTTGGTTAGACAGAAAAAAATTCCAATTTCCACATCCACCAAGCAATCATGATTAACAAGTGCATACAACTGGAGCGCGATACTACGAGAGAGACTTGGCAAACACTACTGGGTTAAGACTGCTTCGGCCTGACGCAGCAGCATGCACTTACTGCAGATGTGTTGTGTTCAAGAAGTCTTAGCAGTAAAGAGCTTTAAGTTAAAGTTTTATGTAGGCCTGGAAACGAACAATCTTTTTATGAAAAATGTTGCATAATTGAGATTTTCAAAACTACATGTAAACTAATACAGGACAATTTATCACACAGAAAACACTTCAGTCAGCAACGTACAGGTCAGCTGTAAGTTACTGGCTACAATCTGATTTGCAAACCTGGGTACTTATCTACACCAGGTGCTGTTTTCTTCTTCCTGAAGTAATTTTGGAACTTTTCCCTGTACAGAGGGCAGGTAAAAAAGATCGAGAAGTAACCTGATTATTGTGATCAGTACATATATCTCAAAAAAACCCCACACTCACACACCTATTAAAAAAATGTAGACAGAAGACTGTTGAAAAATTGTGATAGTGGCATCCCAAAACAGAGAGATAAAAGCATCACTGCTGTCTCTAGGAGACAAGCCAATGTCTTCCTATGGATAAACAATTAGAAAAGTGATCAGGTGTCCAAAAAACGTACTCTAAAAATCAGTTCCCAGTGATGCATGTCGTAACTGAGACCACATATCACAACAAAGCTGTTAGGAGTCCACAGATGCCCAACTGAGCGCTTGCATACGGTATAAAACTGAGCCTTCACTAAGTGTTCCTTCAGTACCTAAACACCAAGTTTCATACTAGAGACAGGAAGTGACATTCTAAACACCACATTTGTTTATTTGTGAACAGATGCACAAAAATACTAATAAATTAAATTACAGAAAATAAATTAAAAGGGCCATAAAAACATCACCAAAAAAAAAAAACCAAACCCAAAAAACTTCCTAGCTTTATATTTGTGGTTCATTTCCTAGTAAAAAAATGTAAATGTCAACAGCACTGTGTACTTCCATGCGATACAGCATGCAGATCCATACAACCTAGGGTCGTAAATGCTTGTTTTTAGGACTTTTGCATCCATTTTCAGAAAGACAAATTTTATGACTAATTTTTTTCCTCAAGTTAATACTTTAAGGTATTTTTAATCAATAACTTTATGGAAAACCCAAATTAACTCGAGAAGCTCTGTCAGAGGAGTAGAGTTGTGTTTAATTAATTTATACCTCTATAATCTTGTTCCAGATAGGACGATGAGTGCTAGCATCCCAGAGGGTAATGTGCTTGTCATGTCCACAAGTGAAGAACTGAGGTTTAGAGGAATGAACTGCAAGTCCCCAAAGCTCATCAGTGTGACCCTACACAAGCAGAAATGTTTCTTGACAAGGACAGTACCATCAAAACGAAACATGTTTAAACAGGATTAAGATGACTAAACCATATATTAAAGCATTATAAAAATACATCTATCTAAGCCAATGTATGTTATTTATTGCCAAAAGTACTAAGTACTGTGATAATAAATAAATGCATATTTATGAAACTTAACTTTAAGCAATACCTTTCCTTCTATTAGGCACTCAGAAACGTTCTTGCAAGGCAACAGCTTACCTGGGTAATTGGGAAAAAATCTCCTGATAGCGTGCCCTGTAGGACGAAGTTTCTAGTGGTTCCTATCAATACAACGTCCCGTTTTCCCTCTGCTACTGTTCTTATTGGACCAAATTGCTCTGGAATCTGTGGTCATAACAGACAGATAGCTAAGTCAGGAAATGTGTCAAGCATCGCTGGTTTTAAAGACGCATGGCCTAGCAAATGCAGTTTAAGAAACATTGCAGGGAGAAGAAATGAAATGGATGAGTTTATATGCCTGACTTTGGAAAGTTTATAACAGCTTGCATCGGCTCAGTCTTTATAACGCTACAAGAAAAGTCATCATTATCTACAGAACACTGATAAACCACGTATGTCAACAAACAGAAAAGGTTCCTCCATGCTGTATTAACTCGATCATGTTTTAGTTGCAGCTGTGAGATCACAGGAAGCATTTCTGCTCAGAGATAGTGTCAGGCTGCGTATCACTAGTACTTTCTTGCAAGGAATGTTTCTTTAATTGCAGCCTAGGGTCTGAAAGAGTCTGTGGAAATCTCCAGTATAAAGTTCAAGGGAAGATGTAAAATTTATACTAACGAGGAACACCACTGCATGAACGAACAAGAGAAAAAGAAGGATGCCACAGTTAGAAACAGCACAACAAGCATGTACCTTGTGCTGTGAGAAAAACTGAAGTACCAAACCACACATGCCATTCTAGTAGAGCTGAAACCCTTCCTCAGAGTTTTATGCTGATTTTCTCTTGCATTCAGTACGTAAACAGTCATGTAGCTCTGTCCAAGCAAATGCTGCTTTAATTCACACAGATTCACAGAGTGGTAGAGGTTGGAAGGGACCTCTAGAGATCATCTAGTCCAACCCCCTGCCAGAGCAGGATCACCTGGAGTAGATCACACAGGAACAAGTCCAGGTAGCTGCTGAAAGTCTCCAGGGAAGGAGACTCCACCACGTCTCTGAATCTTTTAAGTTCCTACATAGCAACTGAATTAATATTTGGAATTTCTTTTTTAAATAAAATACAATGCTAACCAAGAAATTAGCATTTCTTGTAAGAAATGTAAGTACTAAAAACTCTCACATCATTTTGGAAAAGAGGAAAGTACAAAAAACATCTTAATAGTGTAGCACTGAAAAATGACCTCAAATTATTAATCACAAAGGGAGGAAATAATATGAAAAAGTATGAATTCAAGACTTGTTTTCCAATTACCATAGATCTTTAAAAGGAAATACTATATTAATGAATAGCCTATCACCGGAATGACTTGGTGACTCAAATGATATTACATTTTACCACTGATTTGCTTTCCCACAGAATACACATCCATAAGAAAAAAAAAAAAGATTTAAAAAGCTCTGTTCAGAAGACAGCTAAAATTGCATTTTGAGCAGCAGAAGTATTTCAAGATAGGTGATATCACCTCAGTCTTGTAAAGTTTTTGGTAATTTCCATTCCAGGATATCAGCTTTCGGTCTTTTCCTCCTCCTGACACTAACGTGCCGTCTCGCAGCATACACAGCGCAAATATTCCACCCTCATGTGCCCCTTGAACTGCATGGCTTATTCTGTTGGTACCTAGAGAGAAGGAGAAAAGATATTACTACTGAAATACTCAGCTCAACGGCTCCTTTCTCCCCCCAGGTTTTTTCTCCATTTCTCTGCTACCTGTCAAGGATTATATCTGAACAGTGATAACGGTGGGCATGGGGTGTTGCACCAAAATGCTCACACCCACAGGAACCACTGAATTAGTACACCTTAAGAACATACTCCCCCCCTTTCATCTTTTCAGTATACATATACTCACTCAGTCTAGTTCAAACACAAAGTGAAACAGGTTCATTTAGACCTTCCATGGGGATTTAAGCTAAACTGTCTGACGTCACATTTGACCTGCAGTAGTACTACGCACCTTATCAACAAAAAACCCATAACCCAGTCACTTGTTACCCTCCAAGGATATTCCACAGCCTCCAGGCACCTAATTGGCACCAAAACCTGACTAAGCTGGAGGTCTTTGTACATCTGGCAGAAGGTCTGAAAAAGCCTGTACCTCATTATTGATGAGCTTGGCTTGTTCAGGTATCTTCTTAGACTCAAAACACGTTCTAGCCAACCATACTGGATTAAGTATCTCTAATTTGATCAAAGCTTGCTAACTTTATCACCTTGCATCAAAGCTTGGCTAACTTTATCTTTAGCAGAGCGAGGGGCTGATGCACGTTAGGAAGAAACAACTGCTTTTTCCATTATAAATCCCATTTGCTTCTATGCACATCTATTAATTTGATGAACCACTACTAGTATGACGTAGGAAGAAGCGACTACTAGTGATTCTGTTACTGAAGCGTGCACCTTGCATCAAAGCTTGGCTAACTTTATCTTTAGCAGAGCGAGGGGCTGATGCACGTTAGGAAGAAACAACTGCTTTTTCCATTATAAATCCCATTTGCTTCTATGCACATCTATGCACATAATGTGCCAGCTACAAGGGATTTGTATGAAGAGAAGCTTTTGCTAAGGGCACCTGAACTGGTGGAAGCAGCCTTCGCTTGGACATAGAACTGAGTCAAATATAGTAAAGACACAGAAAGTACGTTGTACTAAGATTGTAAAAACAAGAACAACATTTTTGTCCATCCCCAAAGAATCGGCAGAGGTGAGAAGATCTTGCAGCACACAAAGAATTCCCTTTCATTCCTGGGAGAAAGGGCAGAAAAGGCTGCTTGCAGTCAAGGCAGAAATTAGTCCACCAGCAGGAAGGCAAACTGGCCCGAGCAATGCGCTGACCCTGCCATGCCAGCAGCTGCCACACTATCTCCCTTTGCCATTGGTAGTCCAAAATAACCACCCAGAACAGGGAGGGGATGGGACTAAGGAATTTCTCAACTCCATTTGGAAGGAAAAGTGTTCAAGTGCCTTGCTTTAAACTATCTCAGAGAAAAAGAGAAGGGAAATAAGAGGAGCTGAGTTACAAACACCACATCCACCCCTTTCCTCAACAGCAGTGTACTGGTCGAAAGCACAAGGAGATAATTGGCTGATAGTCCTTGGATGAAAAGAAGTCTACAAAAACAGCTCAGTGAGGCCCAACCACATAACGGATTCACCATGTTGCTTCCCAGGCCTTACATCCTTTGAGTATCTAGGAAGAAGGCACTGACTAAATAAGAAGCAGCTGTCATCCATATCCCTTCTTCCTTTATTAATAAGGCCTCCTTTAGGGGATTCTCCTTATCCCTATGCACAGCATGCACGAGGTGATCATTTAGGATGTTGCTACTGTTTGCCGTCCAGCAGGCATTGCCTTCTGCTGCCTAAAAAAAAAAAAGTCTTTCCTTACTAAAAAATGCTTTTTCAGAAGTTTGTCCTATCCATCTGTTCTTTTGAAATAAAGCTGAGGAATTCAATTAGATCTGCACATATTTTAGCTCGACTTCCCACGAAAACAAATAAAGCTACTTGTTGCCTTTGTACAAGGTGTGTCAGCAGGCATAATCTGTGCAAACGCTACAGAGTGACAGTATAGGAGACTGGAGATCAATTACATTAACAGTGTTTCTACTATAACACTGACTAAGCAAAAGAACTTCTCCTGCCATTTCTTACATCAGTAAAGGCCATGCATGCTGGCATAGCTTGATGATTCAGTATTTCACCATAGGAAACACGTTCTATAGAATGTTGTGCTCTAGCAGTCAGGTGTATATGTTGTTAAAATGCTTGTAGAGGTGAATCTGGACATAATCTGCTGGATTGGTCTTGGGAAAGAACTCGAGATAAACAAAAATTATTCTTCTTAAAATGAGGCTACAATCATGTAAAAATTCAGTCTTCAAAATTGAAATTTTGCTATTAACTTCAATCTTGTCTTACCTTTACCCCAAACCAAAATGTTTCCGCTTGAGTCTCCTGTAATAGTATCACCATTTTCAGAAAAGGTCACACACAGGACAAACTTTGGCTTCTCTTGTTTCTGCATGATTATGAAAAACACACACTCACAGCAACACACAACCCATTCATTTTAACTCTGTGCATTTGAGCAATTTAGTCTTACACAGCTCTATTACTACTTAAATATCTACACAGGAGTTAAACACATTCCTACAGTCTAAACAGATGATCTGTGCAAAGGCCACAGATGCATCAGCTGAGGTTGGTGGCCCAATCCTGCCCCCTTTAATTACAAGTTACGGATAGAGCGAGTGAGAAAGCCCGCCAAGTTTTAACAGCAGACCAGGAAATGCTCTGGGATAAACCGAATCCCCCAGCTCCCACACAATCCCAAAGGCATTTGGAAGTGGTTGAAGAAACAAACAAGCTTTATCACTGTAATTTTTAACTCTCATGTTTCTAGGAGAAAAATAATAACAGAGTTGGGCTGTAGTATAAGAATTAATGAACCATCTCTTGAAGGAATTCTAAGGTTCAGTAATGGAATCATTGCTTTGAGACCCTGCATTTAAGGTACTGACAGCAACACGACACTGAAATGTATAAGGGGACAAAAAGGTTCACTAGTTAGTAGCTTTTAAGGACATTATATACAACATTCGTTGACTAGCAGTGTGCATGGCCTTTCTCCCTCAAACTAGTAACTGCTCTCAAATAGGGTCACCGCACTTTCCCATCTGCAACAACCATCAGGAATAACAGTCATAGCAGAGGCAGAAATCTGCCCAAGTAGCTTAGGAGATAAAAATGAATGAGAAATAGAATGTAACAAAATTGAAATGCATTATCTCAGCAGCTCCTCCTGGTTTCACACAGAGTACTTTAACATTGCAAAATAGTTGTTTTGACTATATTTGCTGGCCACGACTCCACAAGCAGTTAACTAAGCCCTATTGGAGTTATCTGCAGTCACTGCAAACCTCCCTCACTTGTGCATGCAACTGCTGTAGGGCTTAGGCTACATTTAAGAGAAAAAACCAAATCAAGAACTTGAAATAAAAATGAGATTTACCAAATAGTTGCCAGCTTAATCTGTATTTGAATTACATATGGGTATGTATCTGAGCAGAACAGAGGAAAAAAGAAGAATATTCATATTCCTGCCATTTATGGGGTTTTGAGAGTCTTTGATAAAAAATACCCAGCATATATCACTTCCCCCTCCCCCACCCCCCGCCACTGAGGCATAGAGAGTTTGAAGATAATTTTATTTTGCAGGGATAATTTTACTTTGTGTAGTTTTATTTTGTGTGGAAGCAGCACACCATAAATAATATAAGAAAAAGAATGCAAGGAACCAAATGCATTTCACAACTTCATTGTGAAGTTTCACCTGTGGAAAAGTTCCCTATGCCATACCATGAATACTTCCTGAGTTTCTGCAAAATTTCAAGTTTAATAATGATCAGTTGTTTTGATTTACTCAAACCTTACTAACCCTTACTTCTGCATGACTGTACCATTACTATGTACATAACATTAAGGAAATATTTTACCTCAAATAATCCTTGCTTCTTAATAAGGGAATTCCCTTCTAGTGTCCAAAAATAAAGATGTGATTTTCCACAAGTAACTATTATATTTGTGTCAGTAGGGTGAAAATCTGCAGCAAATACAGCCTCATTAGAGCACTTGGGGGAAAAAAAAAAAAAAGAAAAATATTGTATCAAAATTTAAAGAAAACAAAACAATACAAAATGGTTCTTTAGTTAGACAGACTGATAATCCTAATATAAGGAAAATTCTGAGCTATTAGTTTATTAACATAGTCTGAAATACTTTGGTAGAATACTCTGAAGTCCAAAGATTTTATGTTTTTGTAAGTTAGTATCAAAAGTTATTCTTCCAATCAAGCCAGATAATGAGAAGTTCTATACAAAAGATTAGTTTAAGATATTTTGTTTCTGTACATGCTCCTGTCATTGCTGCCTAGACTTTTCTAATCAATTCTAGAATGGCAATAGCACAATTTTACAAAACCCAAACTATAGGGATTATCTCAACAGAGAGAAAACATTCCCTTTCATCATGTTCTTTGCCTTTCATAAAGTCAAAGCTTTAAAAAAAGCACAAGAAGTTACATACAGAAAGATATTTTATGACAAGAAATCCAGATCTACATACAAGCAAGTAGTACAAAATATCTTATTGCAACACCTTGACATCTGCCAGTTTTTCTTCTTTCTGCCAGTCCCATACAGAAAGCACGTGGTCATTTGAGTCATCCACGGAGCACAGGCTACTTCCTCCGTTCTGAAGCAAAACATGGAAAAATATTAATGCATCGCCCAAGCAACATGTGAAACACAAATACACATTCAAAACAATTAAATACTTCTGTGTAGATGAAGGTATTTATCCATATTTACACTGGAACTGTTATACTTTGTGTTATCCCATAAATCTTCATGAAATCTAATAATCCATAGGGTCATTGAAAAATAGGGCTAAACAGGGATCTAGAAGAGGAACTCTTGCAAAGTGCAGACAAAGAGACTTTGTCAGGAATCAGGTAGGTATCTCTTTCCAAACACTGGAAAGAAAAAACTACACATCATTATCTATGCTGTTAAGAAAGCTTTTCCTGACAATTATATTGAGTTTCTTTCTATGCAATTTAAACCAGTTACTTCTTGTCAGGTCTACTTGGAGAGGGGGAAGAACTTTACTCTTCATACAAGAATAATGGATCAAAATCAGGGAACATGGTAAGTAATCGGAAAACTATTTCTGACAGGGGTCTTTTTAATAGGTGTATCTTCTATCAGTCTTTATAATCTTATTGACCCTAATTCCATCAGTCTTCCTTCATGCATCATATTAGATGGACCTTCTCCAGTGAGTATCTATTTTTCTGAAGTACGAATCCAAAGACTGGATGAGGAACTCCAACCGAAACCCCGCCTGAGCTGAGGGGAGGTGACTGACATCCATCTCACTAACCAGATGGGAACTGCTGTACAATCATCCTAACTTTTTCAGCTGTCTGGAAGGTACCTTTTGGGCCATTTTTTCCAATCTTTGGTGTTCACTCCTAGCTGCGTGTCTACAGTGGAACAAACCATCAAGAAACATCTAAATGCTTTCCAACCCATTCACATAGGATTTGTGTATCCTGTTGCTCCTAGCTTCAGCTGTGTCAGCTCTTACTACAGATCAGCTTGCTAGAACAGACTGAGCCTGTGGTTACACGAGCAATTCTCTGGCAGCAACACTGACACAAACAGTCCTTCTGCCACCCATAGCAAGGCCACTTGTTTCTGGCTCTTGAACTGAGTCACCACAAAAGTTTAGGCTACCACAGAGTGAGCCTCTTTGGGAAATGAATCAATTTCTTGGGGGAAAAACAGATCCAAGCAAATCCTACTTAATTTTGTTTATATATAAGGATGCATGGTTTCCTGATGAACCAGGCCCCTCATGCACATCTCAGACGCAGCTACAGAAATAGCCATCTGAAAGCAATTCCATGGGTGGGACAGAGACAGAACTGAGGAGCCTGAAGAGCCGGCTGTCTAAAGCGAGATAAGAAGTACAGCTATGGGATGGAAAGTGATGCTAAAAACAAGGCTAAGCTCTGACTGTGAAATCACAGCATAAAGCAATCATATTACACACTTGCTTTCTTGTGGCATCTGCCAACAGGGATCCTGTCATTATGTACCTATTTCTCTTTCCAGGGAGATATTTAGAGTATTTGCTTGCTCTTCCTTTTTATTTATCCTTCAAAGCTTATCTTGGACTGTGTTGTCTTTCACCTTTGTATTCTTAACCAGCTCTCCCAATTCACTCCTTTCTTTTCTACTTCCTATACAATGTTGTCCCCAGTAGATTTCAAGTACTTGTGGAAAATTTTATTGAAGAGCATTTTGCCTAGGGAATACATTGTTTACTCCTCTTCTTTATAAAAATGCTGTCAAGACAACCAGATACCAACAGATACACTGCTTAAGGATTCTGTTCTACACGGAGGGTTTCTAGACTTGTGCGTGTCAGGTTACAAACTCATGGTTTTATATGACACTTGAATGCTGCCTATGCCTTTTTTTTTACCCCCTTGTTAGACTAGAGCTCAAAGGACGATGCCAAGAGGCTAACCACAGGATTCTAATTCTTTACAATCCCTAATCCATATGCCTTTTCTGCTTTCATGCAAAAGAATTTGCTTCTTCTATAGGAGCTCCCATTTTTTAAATCCAAAATCAGAGGTACAGGACATTGTAAAGGTCTTTCATCAGTTGTTCTGAGGCACAGTGTACAAGGTTAAAGAATGGGGAGAGAATAACTTTCTTATGTGGGGAAAGAAGCAATGGGATGATTAAAGAGAAGGAGTAAGAATACTGAAATTTCAGGAACACAAGTACTTCTGCAACTACTTGCCCTTGAAGTAATTAACTGCATTTTCTGGTATGCGTAACGTAGACGGCTGAGACTGCTGAGATGCTGATAACCTTAATAGTGACATAAACTGTTGGAAACAACTGGGGTGCATGCTTTCCTCCGCTAAAGAGGAAGCTGAGAGAAAAAGACAACTTGGAAGCTTGTTTTGGCCATGGAAGCTAAATTGGAAAGGCTTCGAAGACCAGTTCAGAAAACATTCTTAATATGACTATTGATTTACTTTACTTACAGATTTAGAAAAAGCAATGCAAGTGACAGCTCGGTCAAAAAACCCCATTCCGATGACATGCAGTGTGTTCAGAGTTACAGAATCCCAGACACGCACGTGTGGTGGCAATTGCTACAAAACGGACACAGAAATAATAGCTGAAACAATGGTGGCAAGCCAACCCCAGGGTTTAAATAAATGAGAACACATCTGAAAAACCATTTTAATACAGTTTAAGGTATGAAAATTATCAGAACTTCTCTAGAGTTGCCGATGTAAGCACAGATATGCTGTAAGTGATTTGCTGAGTACTGTGTTTAGAGCCACTACCTGTGGCTGCCGATCCAGAGTATATATAGCACGTCAGGTCTCCCTGATCTCTTTAGATCAGGGAAATCTCTTTAGATCAGGGAAGTTCATGAGCACTGGGATATCCTTCAGGAAGTGAAAACTGGTGATGGCCTTGTGACATGGGGCCTACTGATAGGTCCGGGATCATCAGTTTGAACTGGAGCAACTGTGATAAATCTGGTCAACATCAAGCACCAAGTGTAAGAAACGTATTAAGATGAGGAACTCCACCCGAGACTCGACCTGAACTGAGGGGCGGTGACGGCACTAGTGATGGGAACCGCCATACAGTGTTTTGGAGCTGTGTGGAAGGTACTTTTTGGGCCACGTTTTCCAAGCTTTGGTGTAAATGTAAAATGTAATTAACTTCAGTGTCATAAAAACGGTCGTAGAAACGAACTGTACGAGTGTAATCAGAACTAGCTTTTAGCTGGTCCATAAAAACGGAGGCACACGTTCCCTCAGGGAAGCGGGTGGATCCTCCCGCCCCCGCGGC